TTCATTGTGTTCAAAAGTATCTCTAACTATTTAAAGGAAACAAAACAATCAGTGATCCTAATAACCATTTTTGCATGACAATAGAGTAGCTAATTGCTTCTTGTGCTTCATGTAAATAATGAACACAATGGTGATTTTGATATGTGTGAAGCAGGGTGTACCTGACCTATCTGAGTTTGGAGATGTATACCAGCTAGGATATGGATTGGGAGAGGATAAGCCTCCAACCAGTGCTCTGGTGAAGAAAGAATTTCAACGCAAAATCATCTATCATTTAAGTCCACATGAGGTATGCATTCAAAAGGGAGAAAAAGGGTCATACATGCTATGCTTTATCTACACAAACTGTTTATTTAACCCATGTTCACTTGGTCAGACATACCCTTTGTCTGTCTCCAGGCTACCCCACATGCCATGTACTTTTTACTATCATCAATTTCATTATCATCTGCTTTTTTCCACTTGTAGGACCTTTTATGGCAACTTCTTGGAAACAGATAAAACCACACAAGATTTATCCAAATTAAAACATTCTAAGAGAACATTGTAGCCATAAAGGGGTGGTTTTTACTTATTCTGATCATTTTTAGCTCTCAGTATTGTTATTTAAGAGAGAGACCAAAGTTATGATTAGAAATGTTTGAATGGTATAATGTGAGTGAACATGATTAATATGTTGTTGATGATAGGATTCAACCTTAGCTTGTATGCTGTTGAGGCCAGGACCTATTAAAGCATTGACAAGTGCTAGGTTTGTGGAGGATGGTGAAGTGGAGAAGGTGCCAAGGATGTACATAAAGACAAGTCAAGACCATGTGATGAAGGCAGAGCAACAAGAAGCCATGATAAAGAGGTGGCCACCATTGAGTGTGTATGAACTAGACAGTGATCATAGTCCTTTCTTCTCTACCCCGTTTCTCCTCTTTGGGTTACTTGTAAAAGCTGCAACTCTTCACTTTGGATGCAGCTTTACTAACCCTCCTTCATAAGTTTTCTCTTCAAACCATGGCTTGTGAAAGATCACAATTTGAGAGTATTTGCTAAATATGGAAAGATGGAAAGATGGAGTTTAATAAAGCAATGATTAATAATAAGAAAGTAATGACAATATTAATGAAAAGTGTTACAAAACTGTGTGTTAGACAGCAAATATACTATACTGTGCTAGGTTTGTGCATAATAATTAAAAGTAAATTAATGAGTTAAAAATAGATATTATACTTTAAATAATTATGATAAATTGATTAAATAAAGAGATTAATTTAGAAATGCTTAAAAGATATTAACTTTGACAATTATAATTTTATGTCAAGTATTATTTTTAATATTTTATTATTTTGTTTATTTTTTGCTTATTAATGCTGTGAATATTTAATTATTTTATTGTTTTATATAATATTTTAAATTTTATCACTATTATATTAGTAATATTATGTTATTATATTATTATTAAATATTATTATATATTATATATATTATTATATTGTTAAGAACCCACAATTTTTTAAATGTGAACTCTTTTAAAGTTAGGAATATGTGAAAGCTCTTGAGAGACATTAAAAGGATCTATAAAAAAGGTTTCAATTTTTATTTTTTTTATTATTTTGAATTTGACATGTAAATTTTTTTTTATTTTGAATTTGAAATGCCAATTTTTTTATCACATTTTTACAGTACTTAAATCTGAATCTTAATTTTAGGAAAAATTGAAATAGTTAGTATTTTTTTTTCAAAGTTTTAAACAATTTATAATTTTCACATTTTAATAATACACTTATGTCTAAGTTATTGAAATTATTTTTAAATTATTATTTAGATTTGACATAATTGCATTGCAATTTTAAATGAGGTATTATTTCTAATGATTTATTATTTAGTTTATTAACAATGTCATTATTCAATTATTTAATAATTGTTTTATATCAATATTTAATTTTTACACTAGTAAAAAATGGTTTTTTAACACTATATACACCTCGATTTTACTGAAACCGAAGCATATAAAAGCGCGGTGGCAATTTCATAATTTTAGGGAAGTTATCTTCCTCGGTTCAAAAGGAACCGAAGCACAAGAGGTGTATTGCCTCGGTTAAGTTAGCAACTGAGACATAAGGTACTGTCAACTCACCTTGCTATCTCTTATATATGCTGACAAACTTTTTGAAAATCACATACTGCCTCGGTTACATTCAGAATTGAGGCATAAACTTTGCCATGTACCCTTTGCTCCTCTACAAATCAGGTGCAATGAGAAACTTCTCTGATTGACAAGGATACTGCCTTGGTTATCTGCAAAATTGAGGCAGAAAGTTCACGCTACCGCATCGGTTAGGCGCCAATCGAGGCATATAGGTTCAATATAGTTTCAAAATTGCCATTATATTTTAATTTTTAATTATTTTATGATACCTTAGGCATCGGTTAAGCCTCATAACTGAGGTAATATATGTTGTTATCAGCACTGACCCTTCAGAACTGTTCCATTTCTCTTCTCGCGCAAACTCTCCCATTGTTCTCCAACCCCCTTGAAACAACGTCGTCTCCGTCTCCACCATTCTGTCGTTCAGTCGCCACCACGCCTCTGGTGTTCTCGCACAAGAAGAAGCCTCGTATTGCATCGCACTGCCTTGTCGTCGGTCTTCTCCCGCAACAACGTCGCTGCCTCGCTGCCTGCTTCTCGCACAACCGCTTTGCTGCCTCGCTGTCGCGCTCCCTCCTCACCGTCGCCAGCGTGCTGCCTCAATGCCATTCCCATCGCGCTCCCTTGCAGCGCCTCCGCCTCTGTCGTCGTGCCTCTTCTCTTCACGTGGCAGCCACAATTCTCCTCTCTTCACGTGGTAAGTTCTCTTTGCTTGCAAATTTTTTTTGTTTTTCATTTTCAGATTGATGGAAATAGCAATGGTAGTGTTCGTTGATGATAATCATGCAATGGGAAATAGAGGGTTTATCCCTATGAATTAAGGATATTAAGGATATTAAAATTAGGTGAATAGAATTTTGAAGATAGGGATGTATAAATTAGGGATATAGAAATTAGAGAAATAGAAAATAGGGATATTTTTGAGTTAGGGATATAGAATTAGGGAAATATATTTTTGGTTTATATTTTTTAATTAAATATATGCAAATTAGAGAATAAGATTTTGAATTGTTTGTATTACATTGGTTGATATGGTGATAAAATAAAGTTTAAGGAGGTTAGGAATCATGAGACTAATTAATGTGTTGCTTGTTTTTGTCTAGATATTATATTTTTGTGGTGAGGGACATTCTTCATTGTTGACCGACTTTCACGCTCCCAGGTTCCTATTCTTAATTTTTTTCCATTTAATATGTACATGTTATTATTTGTTTGAGTGAATATATTGTTTGCTTCAATATATTGTTTGCTTGAAAATATTGTATGTTGCATATGTACTTATTTGTGGTTATATATATTCTTGTTCTGAATTAGCCTTAGTTTCCCGTTTGAGATTCAATACAAAAATTATTTATTATCTCCAGTTTTTTTTTATTAATTTTTTTTTTAAAAATGAATAGAGAGTAGATGGTAATAATAATTTAGAAGTATTGAATCTTGAATTGTTCGGTTGGACAGTTTAAGAAGAGTAATAACTTTTTCATAGTTTATTAATACATATCAATTTTAGTATACATGTCTTCCATTTCATGAAATTTTGCAGTTGTGTTTTGTATTGATCTTCGGGTGCATATTTGATTGTGATTTATAATCACTTTCATTTCGCGTAACCTGAAGACCAATGTGAAATGCTGGCAAAATTTCGTGAAATTTTAGATATGTTGTTTAAAATGTATGTGTTTAATAAACTAAAAAAAGTGAATCTTCTTGAATGGGATAGGGTCACACCTTGAATACAAAGACGATCAAAGTGATGATTCGAGATTATTGAAATTATGTAAACAATTTCAGTAAATATACGTACGGATCGAGGGTGGATTAATCTACCACGCATCAGCACTGAGTACGAGAGAGGGGTAGAAGAATTTATAAAATTTGCACAATGTAATGCGAGTACAAGTGATGATGAAGTCAAGTTTAGATTTCCTTGTGTGAACTGTTTGAATGGGAGGAAGTTGAACAGAACCGATATTAAGGAACATCTTATCTGTGATGGTTTTATACGAAGTTATACAACATGGATATGACATAGCGAGTGATGAGTCGTTATTTCTTGAATTATATTTAGTTTATTGCACTTAAATAAACCAGGAAATTGTGTTTAAATTGTTTGTTATTTCCCCGTTTTCCGAATTCTGCTTAATTTGGTCGAAAATTTGTAATTGTGCTAATTTGGGTTTTCTGAGCTGATTAAGTGCATTTTTGAAGTGCAGGAAAATTTCGGAAATACATTTTGGGACATCAGGAAGAATACCAAATAAATTCAAGACTCTCCACACAGACATTTTAGAATTAATTAAATTGTAATTCAGTAGTTTAGAATTTCTGTATCAACTCTTATATTTTGGGTCAATTTTTGGTAAATTAGATTAGACCAAAAATTAGAAGTTAGTCATTTGGCACCCTAGTTTTTTAGGGCAGCGCTACCCCACATATAAAAAGGGGAACTTAAATTTTAGAGGGGAGGCCGCCACCCTCACGGAGGGATTTCTTTTTTTTGGCTGGAACGTTTATACTGGGGGGGCTCTCGGTTTTGGAAAAATGAGGAGAATGGAACGTGGTCTGGAATGAATGAACAGTTGTAATTCCTTATTTGCTTAATTCTAATTGAACTTTCCATTTGGTTTCGGTGCACCTTTATTAAATTTTTTCTAGCATTATGTGAGCTGGGAATGGGGAAAGGGTTGTCTCGGTTTGGGAGAAGAGTAGCTTGGTGAAGCAATGTATGAGGCACAGGTGGAAGCACGGGAATGAGGGAGAGATTAGGTGGAAACGAGTGAAGCTTGGGCAGCAACACACAAAGGATTTCGGTCCAGCAAGTGGGTGCAGGGGCCACGGCTGGTGCAAGAAAAGAGATTGTTTTTTTTTTATTATTTATGAAATGAGTATGCGGTGTGCTGAAACGTGGAGAAAGGAGAAGCACACTCACTGGAAGCTTTGAAAGGTAGCAAATGTTGATGGAGTAGGAGAGAATGGTGTGTACGAGAATGGCAGCTGGAAGAACCCACATGAAGATTTCACGTCCAGGGGAGAAAAATGCATTTTAGCATTTGCTTTCATTTTGAAGTTCACGAGGCACCGTGATATTGCTTTTGGAGAATAGGAGCAGCACGGTGATGGGCTGGGAGTAGATAATGGTGCACGGGAAGGTGGATAAAGGTAAGGAAAAAGGATGTCTAGAAGAATGGCACATACGATGGTGGATAAAAAAATGAAGATAGAAATTAGATTGGAGTAGGTGTCACGGCTACTGGAAGGAGCGTGCGCATTTCTTTTGCTTTCATAGAATGAAGAAGTAGGTTAGGTGAAATGGAATTGCTTGGTACGGCTGGAAGCAAATACGAGAAAGTTGATTTGAAAGCTGCTGCCACTGGAAGGCCACGGAGAAAGGTTTTTTTTTTAGTTAATACTTTGCAGAATGGAGTTGGAAGAAGTGAAGCACACAGCTGCACGGTTATTTGAGAGAAACACTGATTCATTTTGCGTTGGGTGCTTTCAATTTTT